CAAATACTGAGGTGTGGAAGGACAGGGTATCAATCAGTTCCTCCCATTCTTCATCAGTGCCCGTCCAAGCTTCCTCTTCAATCAGTCCTGCCAGGTCCACGTGATAGGCTCTCTGTGTGGCATACCCTTGAAAAAGGAACGTAATATCCATATCATTGTGATTCAGGTCAATAGCTGGAGTTGCAGTGTTCTCTCCAGAAAATCCATCGTAGATGAGGTTTTCCTCAGATAACGCTGCTTCCAATTGTTCTCCCGGAGTTGCAGTGTTCTCTCCCGTGAAGTCTTCTTGCCAGGTTATATCTGCCGATGTAGCTGTACTACATGATCCACTGACAGTGCTGGAGTCACTCTCCTGTGGAAATTCGTACAGTTTAACAAAGGTTCCACCTGCAATGGGGATGTCGTGGTAATACTGGTACCTTTCGTTGTGGTATACTGCATAGCAGATAGCATCGTGATCACAATCATTCTGTGGGCTTGCCAGCAGGAAGAGGGAAGCAACCCCAATGGGTGGGTAGCGACCTTCCAGCAAAATCGAAACAAGATTTGTTCTCCTTCCGAAGAAAACCTGACACAAAATTGGTATATTATCATCAATGCTACCTTCCCAAATGATGACATGTGGCCGTGGTATCACCATGAAGATTGGCGGAGGCTCAATCGGAGATACCTGTACATATTCTCTAAGCCCTATGTCTTTCCAAAGGGACGGACATTGCTCAAAGACATCCGAATCTGCCCGAAAGTCACACATTGCCGAGTGTTCCTGCACAATACAGTTGGCCGGATGAATCCAAAAAGTGATTATTCCTGCAGCAGAAAACCACTGGCTGGCATAACGGTTCAAAACTGACTGTGAGACACGTCTGACATAACCACGCTGCATGAAGCTACTACCTCTAATAATGCCACTTGGTTGTCTCCTACAGGGCTGACCTCGAAGATGCAATTGAAATGCACTAGCATGCTTTTCTTCCACCAGATCATCCATCTCCCAGACTTGACCTTCATCATCATCATACCACGTCAGAAAGCAGTTTACCCCCTCTAACTGGCAGTAATGGCCAAGTCCAACTTTCTGGACAATCTCGAAAAGACGATCACCAGTCTGGCATAGTACTGCAACTCTTCTGGGATGGCCCACATAGAGAATATCGATGAGAAAAACCCTTTCGCCTCGTAGCCTTTGCGAATGCAAAAGTCCAACCACATCAATTGGGTATCTCCTCAAAGAAAGTGGGGCAGGCTGGGGCTCAGCAACAGCGAAGGTAAGAGGCCAGTCTTGTTCAGTATCACTCCATTCCAAGAGTACAGCTCTAGTGGCAGACATGCTGGCATCAATTACACAAACCCTGGCGGCTGCCGCCACCTGTCCACTTACTATCCAGGTGTATACCGTGTGGGTTTGGATATCAGCAAGCAAAAAATGCCGATCAAGGAAAATGCGGAACGCATCCTCCAATCCATTTGCAGCTGGAATGATACATACTCCTTCGTCACCTGTGCCTCCATCTGCCACGGGAAGTTCAGCTAAGGCACGTTGAAAGGATGCTTCCTCCATCTCGAACTCCTCTTGCCATGAGGAAGACGCGCTCTGCATGAAAGAAACATGTTCCTCCTCCTCCGAACGTTCCTGTGAACTTACTGTCTCAACTCGGGACCTCTGGTCCAGCTCCTCACTGCTTTCACAGGTAGTGCTCTCGTCTGTGGTATCATCTCTTTCAATTTCAGTCATTCTTAGGCGAATCCCTTCATACAGGGGTACATGTTGGTGCCATTCAAAGAGATTTGCACCACATCGGAGTGTGCAATCTGCTCTCCATATGCACTGGTTCTCAGGCTTGACAAGGTCGAAAATCTGATGGACAGTTAGCCAGTTCTGCACACGGAAAACAAAACTGGCCTGTTTGAAACTCCTATCCGTCTCATATTCGATCAATGCCGGAACTAAACCCTGTCCAATGTAGGTTGTGACAATAAAGTGCGGCTCCGGTCCTCTACCACTATTGGGCGATGGCCATACTGGAAAAATATAACCCGCTCGATTGAGTTTCCCGTCATGCCAAAAGGACCGTGCTTTCTCAAGTGGCAAATGCAGGTGTTCCCAAGAGCAGAGGCCTTCTTTTCCATCATGCTGATGAAGGAGATAGCTATGATCTCCACAAGGCGGAGAGAGATCAAAGCCTTCAAATCGAGGCGTGTTTGGGGCCACATTGTACGCTATCCTATTCCCGTCCTCCTTCAAAATACAGGTGCACACAATCAAGGCACGAAGACCCCTGTTCATATATCTCATTCCTGATGAATTGCAACAGGTGGTTTTTGCCTCTGTCGACATAGGAATAGAACGTCTATGCCGAAAATAAATCCACCCATATCCACCAGTCAAGCCCATCAGGGACAAAGCAAACAGCCAGAAAAATCCTTTTTGGATCGCTGCGAGGATATGCACACCCCATTCAGCTCCAGCCATATCATTGCCATCAATGTCCCGCTCTCTAAGCTCCCATAGCAGATTCACCATTGTATAGATCACCCCATGAAACAGTGAAAGATAGTGCAGCTGCAGGAACAAAGAACGTTGTCCCATAGAGCCAGCGGGAGAGCATAGACTCCCAAAGAGACAACGAAGCTCCATATACCAGCATACAAGACCCAACGCCAGTAATGGAGTCATGAACGTAGTCACAAAAAGGTATTGCGCCGCCTCATGAATGGAGCCAGTGTCAATTCGTCCGCATGACAGTAACAAATGCTGCCAATCTGTGCCAGCCGAACTGTGCTGAAACTGCATTCCTAACCAGCGTAAAAGCAAAGACGAAGTCTCATCCCAATGACTATATCCCATGCCATTGATAATCCACTTCTCATATTTGCCAGCCAACCATTGCCCCATTCTCAAAGGAAGACCACTAAAGGAACATACACTGTTCCCCAAGTGCGAGACAGGGGTGCCAAATCCGCTGACAATCTTGAAAAATCTGTGGGTGCTGCCTTCAAAAATGGCGCACTCCATGTTGAACCAGACATCGGCCTCATCTGATTCACTCATAGTGTCATTGCATTGAGCGGTGAGTGTGTCTCTCCTTTTCCAGAAGAATGCTCTTCTATTGGTAAGGCCTTGGTACGCCCTTTGCCAGATCGACACAATCCCGCTTTGGATGACTCTCTGGAATTCCAAAAGGGCTGCAAAGGGCCCCGTCCAGCTGTCCAGGTCTTGATGTCTTCCGGGACCTTCGTCACCTGCGCCATCATTTGCTGGGTCAAAATGACAATAGTTTCGACCGTTGGGAACTTTTCTGGTTCTGCACGAACAATTGCCAAAACATGTTCCTGATGCTCTGGGGAAAGGATGTCCAAAGCCTCTTTGACAGCATGATGTGTCAGAGGATCGACATTCACCTCCAATTCCTCGATGCGACAAGGAGAACGTGACCTGTCTCTCGAGTTCCTCGAAGTACGTTCTGTTGAGACACTCGCTAATCGAGTTGTCACTGGCGGCTTCACCATTTGAGGAGAATCGTGTTGCAGCACCTCCGAATTGCCCTTCACAGCTGTAAGCAGCATAGAAACCTGATATGCCAAATCCTGGTTCCTCTGCTCGATGGTCTCCACATAGGAGGCCATCTGGTACATCTGGCGATTCATGGTCTCGAGCTTGGAAGCGACCGCATCCTCCCCATTGGATGTGTCCATGTTCTCCTTGTCCTTGTCGTCCTTCTCCTCTTCCACTTGGGTGAGCTCTTCTTTGAGCTTCTTGATTTCTTCGAGATGTTTGGCATCTGCACGTTTGACCCCCTCCAAGATGCCTGATCTCCAGGTTCCATGGCTCTCTTGTTTCTCCTTGAGCTGCTTTTCGATCTTCTCCTTCTTCGTCAGTTCCTTCTTGAGTTTGTTCAGCTCCTTCTGCTGTTCGCGGAGTACTTCTCTGGGGTCGGTCTCCACCAGCTTTCGGATCTCGTCTGCTGACTCTACTGTAGAAAGATCTGTCTTTTGCGCCAAAGCCTTGATGGCTTCTCGCAGCTTCTTGTTCTCTTCTTGCAAACCAGAGGATTGCGAGGACAACCCCGAAGATGTAGTACCTCCCACGGAGGTGTCGATCTTTGAGCCGTCGTGGTACCTGAGAACCATGTTGTCGCCCTTCTCTTTTTTGGGCTTCTCTTGAGAAGGTCTCTTGTTCTCCTTGATCCAGGCATTCTTCCAAGCTTCTGCTCGGGCATTGCCACTCCATCTGCCGTTCTTCCATGACATACTGCACCTCAAGGTGTATCTTGGCCTGCTGTGGTGTCTCTCCAGAACAGCCTTGCACCTTAGTATATGCAGAAGTCTTTTTCCAGAGCAGCGGAGTTTGTTGCGGTGCTTCTGAATGAAAGCACGTGCTTTGGATCGTTGCTTCCTTTCACGTCGATGCCAGCTAGGGCTGCCCAGCGCCACTATGGCAAGAGACAAGGAAGCGCGCGAGCGTCTTCTTTGAAGACTGGGGCCGAAGTAGCTCTGAAGTATTCACTTCAGCAATCTTGAGCCCTACATTCCAAAGTGCCCACCAGCAAAAACTCCACCCACCGATCGCAGCACACCCCCCATCTCCAACGTTCCCCTCAAATGAAACATGTAGTCCCCGACATGTTTTCCTTGAAGCGGTGACCGTCCGTCCGTGGAGTTTCCTCCGCACCTTAGACCTTTAGACACGCTATTTGACCATCCCGGCTAGCGTCTTACCTTGTCCTCCTACCCTAGACTCGTTCGACCATTCCAACAAAAAAGGGCAACGACCTGGTGTTTGTTGTGTAAAACCTGTCGTTGATTCGGTCAAGCCATGTCAAGCCTATATGAAAATCACTGGTGTTTGTCGTGTAAAATCCTTCGTTGATTCGCTTTAATACAGCCTATGAACGTCATGGTGAGCCTGGAAGCCTATATAGGGCCTGGCCTACTCGTTGCTCCTGCTCCACCGGACCACCAGCTTCGCCCTGCGCCGCGTCACGCGCCCCCCCCGGCGCCTCACCGGACCCACCGGCTTCGGCTTCCGCCGGGCGGAGGGGTCGGACCAGTCCTGGAGCGCCGAGGTGGGGCGGTCCAGTGCGGTGTGTCCGGTTCTGGGCCCAGTGGAGGATGAGGAAATGGCTGCAGGCGTTCCATCCATCCATCCATCCATCCATCTCTAAAAGGACGTGATGTTCTTGTGAAACCCGACGGCTCTACAAGACTGGGACACCCCCAACACTGTTGGCCCATGACTCATGACTGGTTCATTTTGGAAAAAAATGAACCAAAATATAAGACATGAGGAAGATCATCCCCAAGTCGAAGCGGAAATCGGAGCATGTCGCCGCGGGCCTAAAGCTCCCATAGCCACCCGGACCAGAGCTCATGGTGTACTCCATATCGGATATCCATTGACCGGATGCTCCTGGTCACCATCTTTATCCAATTCTCTGATTCTACTCGGTTGAATATTGGGTGGGATGAGGTTGGTCCTCATAACTTCCATCGGTTTGTTTTGGGGGAGGGATCTGGCTATAGTGGCTAGACCAAAGGCTGAAGAAGTGCCAAAAAAATACAAACTGTTTGAAACAACTATAGTCCAGGAGCGCCACGTTCGAGTCGCGTCCGATCGCGAACGGAGAAGCATTCGCGATGCCCCTTGGTTACTAGAAATACCGTGTCACGGCGTCACTTCTTCATCTTCTTATGAAATCTGGTGTCATGTTCGTGCAAGGCTTTTCTCACCACTATGGGTGTTCGATGGGCCAAGCGTACCTTTGCGGGAAGGTGGTGAAACATGGTGAAACAAATGACCATGTCGAGAGAAGAGCGTCTCCCTGTGTGCGACGCGCACGTGCACGTTGGACCCGGCAGGGGTAGATCAACCCCAAAAGGGGATGGGACAGCACCTACAGAGACCTACAGTCTTCCAAAAAGGTCACCCATGCACAGGATCTATAGACTCTAGACTCTAGACCACTTACGGTATGTTTTTGGTCTCCGTTTTTTGAAGATCGCAAGATGCAGGATGGCTAGTTTGCACTCCCACTTCCACCCCATGCTCCGAAGCTCTGCTCACATCCCCGGACTTGTGGGGAGGTTATAACCCGGAGACAGCTCAAACATCAAGTGGCACTAGACAACTGTGCCCGCACCCTGTTTGCGGTGACAACTGGGTTCGACAGTTCTACCTGATGCACCCCCTGCACCCTGAAGAAACGCTGGTAGGTTCTTGTTACTCGTTCGCTGGGTTTCCCGTGTGTCATGGCAAGACCCAATGTCAGAATAGGAAAATGGTTTCATGTCGGACTGGTTCCAAGGCATTCCATCATGAACAACAACCAAACAAACGAAGTAACCCCTTTTAATCCTCCACTCCTCCAGGTCTTGAACAAGAGTTGTGTCTGTTGAAAAATGTCCGTTGTCACTGTCGTGGTTGTGTTTGTTGCTGTTGCCGCTGTGTTGCTCCTGCAACTTCTGGGGTTGTTTGGGGTTGTTTGGACCCGTCCAAGTTACGCTAGGCTCTACGCTTGCACGCACACGTTGGTGATCCGGACATGGGGCCCTGCCACAACGAGCCACCTGCCACCAAGACACCTCCTGTTTCCTCTTCCACCTGCTCAAGGTCTGCTGCCACTGCCGCAGCTTCTCTCGGAACCACTCGTTCGGCCTCAAGTCCGGCACCTGGGAGGACGAACTCCGAGACTCGGGGGCGCCGAAACCTGGACACAACACCTCCCAAACAAAGGGCCAACGAATCAACAAGCAAGTGATCTGCCAATAGGCGAGCCGGATCTACTCCAGGTGAAACTTGGTTTAACAAATGTCTTACATCATGTTAATATCACGTATACTTTGCGCCCAGATTGGATTTAAGTTCCTTCAAGCGGCTCGCTCAACGAGTTTTTTGTCCGCGATCCACCTCTTCAAATACTCGGCGCTTCCTTCCTCCCCTTGCCAAGCGAAGACGATGTCCTGGTCACGGCGGGCTGCAGCGGTCTAAAGGTACGACGCCTTGTCAAGTGTTTCTGACACCCTCCATGGATGTGTCCAATTGTTTCCCACAAAGAAACTTCCATGTTTGTCGTTTTGAGATGCTTTTAGTGCAACAGCGATATCCTCATGAAAACCCAGGCCTGCTGACATGGGGTCAACCACATGTTTGTGGAGGGACATCTGGTTCCATGTTCAATGACTTTCAAGGGAAGGTCAGCCTCGGAGGTGGCGACGTGACATATGAAGCCAAAGAAAACAAACAAATCTCACATCAGTTGGCTCTTTAATTAAGATCTTTGGTTTGTATCATTACACTAGTCCTTCCCCTTTGTCCCGCATCGCAAGCATCGCATTGCTCGCATCTAAGATCTTCGGACGTCGGATCTTCAGTGCAGAACGATCCTCCCGAGAGGTGCGGAGGCTCCGAGGTTTAGACACCTCTTCCCTACGCCATGCCTGGCCCTTGACGCTACCTCCAAGGTTCGTTCACCTTCCCTCCAGAAGACAGCTATTTGGGCAACATGGCCTGTCTACTAAACCGGAGCGGTTTCACTACTGCCTGACAGCCTCGCGGTGCTTCTTCCACATGGCTGAGAAGAAGCCTTTTTAAAGCATGCTGCTGATGGAAGAGCAAACCACTTAAGCTTTACCTGTCTCAAAAAAAACAACCGGCCAGAGCGACTTCGAGGTCAGGTGAAAGGGCCTGGAAGCCTTCCTCCTTCGAAGGGATCTTGAAATCTGCGAAGGACTTCGCCAAGTCTCTCCTCAGCCACCGACACCGGCGACACCGAACCCGCCGCTCGTTTCGTTTCGATCGCTCCGTGTGAAGGCCGGAGCGATCGACTTCTTCGCCAGGCGGTGAGTCATGGTGTCAGATGGACACTCGGAATGTTTAATTTCGTGTTGTGAAGTAGAAAATATCGTGTTCCCCTCCAAAGTTGCTGCAGGGCACAGTGAACTAGCAAAGTTTCTTCATGCCTAGAAAGTGGCCTGCAAAAAATATCAAAAAATATCTTGAGTACCTACGTCAGTTTGCGTGTCTCTCTGCCAACTCTGAGAACATTTGCGCATGCACACCACCTCACACAACGAAGAGCGGCACCAGCAACTTGCAAATAAGGCCACCAAGGTTTTCTGCCTGGTCTTCGTAAGAGTGGGCAACAGCTCTCCCAGCTTCCAAAGACTAACTTGGCACTTGTTGAAAGACCAAGTTATTTTTGTTGAAGCCTTTCTAAAGAACCATGCTTTACTTTGTGCAACTTCTTGTTGTAAGCACCCCTTGAGGGGCATGAAGGAAGTGTTTTACAGTAGGTGATGGCGCCCGTTAAGGAGCGGGACTGAGTAACTTAGTAAAACGTGAAAGACGATGTTTTGGAAAGAGGGGCATAGTCGAGAATCAAAGACAAAGTTAAACTTCACCCTTGAAGACAAGGGAGCTCGCTTTCATGGGTCCGTGTCTGACACAGTCACGCACTCTCGTTTGGTGACTGGAGGCTGTACTCATCTTCGTCCGAGCGTCTCATTCTGATCCTCGACCATCCTTTCAAGGAAGCTTCGCTCCTCTTCTTCCTTGTCAAGGCCGTGACGTGCAGAAGGACCATTTGATGGGGTCACATGCCCATGCTGTTGCAGAAGGGCGTTCCATGACCCACCAGTGGTGAAAACAAACCCACTTGAGGAGCCATTTCTTGTGATGTTTGTCAACCAAATTTTTCAATGCCACCTCTCTGCAACCAACCATGACCCACAAACTGATCACACACACGAATAGTAACGCCACTATAACCCACTGGTGAATCCCTACAAGTCCAAAGGCCAAGTTTAACCTGGTCCTTGACTTCATTGAGTACTGGCTTTGCATGACCGGATCCAGTCAAATGAGGTCTTTGACCTGTAGGGTGTGTATATATTAAAGTCTGTCACCATGGCAATCGTGCGGTTGCCAGCTCAATCAAGCCTAAGACTGCAGGTGATATCACTATAACCCACTGGTGAATATTGAAGATGTTCAATCGTGATGCGTCTCGGGTGCCATGAGTGCTCCGATTTGGCGACCTTGACCGGTTGATTGGGCTCTGTCACCCTGAGACCAGGGGGCAAGATCCACAAAACGGAACCTGCTCAACTTCCCGAAAATATCTAGGAACCAAACGAAAAGTGCAAGCACTTCTTCAAGGAAGCTCCCTGCCACCTTTAGGGCGTGGGGAGCTTCCTTGAAGAAGCATGAGCTATGCGTGCCCTGGGTAATAGAAGCTCGAGTAGTCTTAGAAGCCTACTCCCTTGCTTAATTAAGCACGCTAGTTAATTAAAGTAAGGACCGGTTAAAGAAAATAAGCCCAAAGAAACTACTAAAGACTATGGCTGAAGACCCCAAGCTTACGCGGACAAAGGACCAAGGAATCGGTTCAAACCGACCTACTAGCGATGGCCTCCACCCTAGTAGCGATGGCCTCCAACCTAGCACCTAGTTACTAGCGATGGCCTAGCAGCGTTCTACCAGTTGCGTTCGTAGCGAACCTGGGTTCCGTTCGTCACGATGGCGCCCCTCGTGGCAGTCGGGCCAACCAACACCGGTGGACCTCGGGCCAAGGCACCGTGACCTCCACGGCTTCCATGGCCTTGAGCACCTCGGCCTCCAAGTCTTCGGCGGAGGCGGCGTTCTTCTCGCCTGGGGCGGGGACCGGACCTCCAATCTCAAAGCTGGTTGATCTTGAAGGGGGGGGGAATTTGAAGGGGAGAGTAAATATTGGGTACATCCCATTCCCTGGAACCATTGATGATGAGTACAGTGGTTTCAGTGGTTTCAATCCCCAAGTTCGGTGGTTTTTGCAGGGACCCCCATCAGTCTAAGACATCTTTGGGTGCCAGTACCATCGAACCTCTGAAACCACTGTAACTTGCGGCAGGCATCTCTAAAATACTTTGCGGACTTTGCGTATACCCCGTTGAATACCAATATACCAGCAACAGTGCATGATGACGGTTAGGTCGCAGGCACATTTGCTAAACCAAACCACCGTTGGACCACTCGCAGGAGGTTGCAGGCCTTTCTCGGATCATTGTCTGACTTTTCCGGATATTGGGTCACACCCTGTTCTTGTTTACCCCACAATGGGCCCACCACGACGGATTGCTCAGAATTCTGCGTGTCTGACGTGAGCTGGGCATAGCTAGCAGGGAGCAGAAGTCGTTCCACGCGTTTCCCGACGGATGAGCAGGTTGAAGACATCTCTCTCCACAGACGATGGGACGAAAAAAATGCAAGACCGAGCTCGGTGGGAGTTCGGAGAAACGACGTCCGTGGGAAAGTGCCGAGCCAATTTCCAGCAGTCACAAAGGGGTGCTATCCATGGAGGTTAGGGGTGCCCAGAACATCCACTTACTGGATGGGACTAAACACCACCCCTTTGTGACTCCTGGTTGATCCAATTTGAGATTCTGTGACAGGTCCGGGTGATCATGCTGTGGAGATTCGAGATGCTGCGGCTCAAACTGCCTGAAGCAGTTTCAGCCCCTGACCATGACAAATCATGCAACAACGGTGTGCAACAGGGTTGTGAGGTCTGATACAAATGCCGCAGTACAGTGCATCATCATTGAATACCAACAAACGGACGCAGAGCGGACTTTAGCATTTCTTGTTCCAAAGGCCGGACTTTACAAGTGGATGCCAAGTGGACTTTACAAATGCCGGACTGACTGTTCCGGGCATTTGCGCGCAACAAAGTACAAGGCAACTGAAACGCGGAGGTGATGAGTTGTTGCATAAGCTTGGACGGTCTCGCCCACAGGCACTACATGTATTTTTGATTATATTTGCCCCCACGAATTCTCTATAGAAGTTGCTCCGGTTGAGGGTGATTTTGCAGTACATCATGTGCCGCGCTACGCGCGTGTGGCAGTTTTGGGAGAATGAACGAAGTAGTAAAAAGTACGTGTCCGAAAGGATTCCTTTCATAGCGACATTGAAACCGGTCCCCTAAACCATCTCTTTGCTGCCGTTACAAGCTCTCCTGATTGAAGTCGAAAGCTCGACTTCGAACTTCCACCTCACCACCTGCTTCCCCACCACCATATTGGAGAGCGGCAGTTGTCCCACTTCGAGGGCCGTTTGGCTCTCTTCACCTCCGCCGCCGCCTGCGCGTCAGTCATCGCGCAAGCGCGGGTCATCGCGCCCGTGGCACCGGGGGGGACGCCTTTTGCCTTTCAGGGTGGTATGGTGGGTCACGGCAGGTGTTGGGTCACGGTCACGGTAGATAGAAGTAAGCTATAGATCCCCTATAGCTTGAAGATGTAGATGGGACACTGTGCCACGAAGACTCTTTGGGGATCACTTATGGTCGATATGGTGCTATGGTATTGTTGGCTGGTATGGTAGGTAGTGTGGTAGGTGGGATGTTGCTTGATGGTGGGGGCTGGTGGCTGGTGGATGGCAAGTGGTGTGCAGCAAAGTGGTTGATAGGTGAGTGTTCGTCTCTTGGTCCTTGAACATTGGTTGGTGGGTGGGTGTCCTCGACCCTCTGTATTCAACCCACCAGCAATATACAGGTCTGAACCTATGTTCATGTCGAAGCCTGTACCACTGCCCTCCACCACCACCATGCCCCAAAGCAGAGTAACTACCATCAATTGCCACCATCCCAACTTCCATCTACTAGGAGCAAGGACGCTACTAGGGGCTTCTGGCCTTACTACTAGTAACAAGAAGCTACTAAGTAACTAGGGGCTCCTGGCATCGCTACTAGGAGCAAGCAAGATCTTGGCCGTCTCACTGAGCAAATCGCATCAACCGCAGGATCGGTAGGATCTCGGTGGGCGATCCGACCAAAAGCACGGCACGCGGGACGCGCGTGGAACCTTCTCCTGGCGCTCCTTCCGCAGGGTCTTTCGGACCTCGCCGCGGACCTCCTGCAGCATCGCTCGACCCCCAGCGAGCTCGGGGAGGGTGGAGGAACGCCACGGCTCAGAGCGGAGCGGATTTCAAGCGAAGTTGGCACAGGAAGGATCCGGAAGGCCCCTCGGAAATGGTTCATGAGTTGTACTTGAAGTTTTGTATGGTGGGCTGAGTCCTTCGAGCCAGTTCTTGAGTCAATCGAGTTGCCACAGAAAGAGCCAGGTGTTTGTGAGGTCTATGTCGGTCTACATCCGGATCTGTGGAGTCTGTGGAGTCGCTGACCTGCCGCCGAGCCACGACCGGATCCAGGGAAAATCGGCTCCGCTTGTTGGATCCGGCGAGGATGCGACGTTTGTTCTCCAGCCTCCATCCCCCAATCACTGCAACAGTGAATGATGATGGATGATGATGAATGATAAATAATGATCAACCATGAATACCGAGGGCCTTGCACTCCCGAAAGCTAACATGGACCCTGAAAATGGATCTTTGGAAGACGAAGACGACCTTCCTCTACAAACCCAGGTGGTTTTCAGGGTCCATGCTAGTTTTCAGGGTACTCTAACCAACAGCCATCCCACTCTTCTACCGGTGAATCCATCCAAAAGACCCTCTGTCACCAACCCACGAAACCTCGCTCCACCTGCTCACGCTCTCTCCGCGCTTCAGGCCTCGGGGGGCTGGCCCAGCATCACCACCGCCGTTCGCTTGAAGCGCTGCGTGTCGAAGAGCTTCAGAGAACGCTGCCGCGCGCTCGGCAGCAGGTTCCGCCTCGGCCCAGGCGGCCAGGCAGGTTCCCCACGCCACCGGTGGGCTGGGGGCGCATGGGATCCACCGCGGAGGCGCCGGTCCATCCGTTCAGATCATCGGCCATGAGAACGGATATCAATAGGGCATCTGGGGAGTTCGGGCTCAGATGTCTTCCCTGAAAGGTTGTCCTGATACTTATGATTGTTGATTGCTTTGGTCGTCGAAGTCCAACAAATGTGGGTGCTGCTGGATCCAAATTCAACACCAATAGCATTTAAGCTGGCCAACGGGTGCAGGTCCCATGGCTCCATGCGGCTCCCTGCACCTCCATGTGCTTCGATTGTCTTCCGTGCCGGCCCTCTGGCGGTCGACCTGTTGAAGCAATCCCGTTGCACTCGCAGAACCCCGGACTGAACCCCCAGACGCGACCCATGAAACTGCCACAGATGCTGAGAAACGGCCGTCGGGGTGGTGCCAGGGGGGTCGACCTCTGGGGCGGCAGTCCTTTCTAGGGCGTCCCAGACAGGTCGTGTATGGGAACTTACAAAGTCCTTGAAATGGAAGATGCACTTCTTGTGTCCCATGTCCCGGTTGGGTCCAGAACTTTCGACCAAAACTGATGCTCGAGAAACTGCTGCACTGATGCTCGAGAAACTGGTGATCATGAATATGGCAAGGGTGCACAACAAATGAGCAGCAGTGGGTTCCAAACGAATACAGCTGTGTTCTGTGAGCACCTAAACGCAAGTTTGACCTGCAGGGGATCCAACCCAGTCTTAGTGCCTTGGCTGGGGGCATACTTTGAAGTATTCCCAACCTGCTCCAAGAGCTGGCAGTGGATGGCCCTTAGCCTTAACCCGATCCCGCCGCGATCGTCGTCGAACGGTTTGTCGCCCGGGATGCTGGAGCTGCTTGAGGATGAAGTGCTGCGGCGACAACTGTGCCACGGACTCCAGCATCTGCTGGGCACCTGGGTGAAGCTGTGACGGACAAAGCAGGATCAGACCCCAGAGGCCGGTGCACCGGCAATGCACCAGAAGAGGTGCGGTGAGTTGGAATTATCTAACCCCCCCAACTCCGGTTCCTTCACTACGCACCAGGGCCGAGGATGATGACTTCATCTCAGAATCTTCCTAGCCACGATCCCATCAGCCAGCGAGCGTGGATGGGGGGCGGGGAGGCCATCAAGTAAGTTGGGGCTTCATCGAACCCTCAAACCAACCACTTGCAAGCATCCAAAGTGGCGGAGAAGAGTTAGGACCTTCCATGAGGCCCCTGCAAGAATGCAAAACAAGAGATCCACACCCGACAACTGATGGTCGCACTGCTTGTCACACGATGGTCGCGGTACGATGAGAGAAAGGCCCAAACGTACCCAGACCAAACCAGCAACCGGCCCTGGATGATGTGTTGATGAACTTGTAGCAGTCACATGTCGGGGTGCTATCCATGGAGGTAGTCGGGGTGCCCATCTGCCCACTATCCACTCACTGGATGGGACAAGCCACACCACCCAACTCCATCTGACTCCTGTATACCCCCCGACCCCGCACCGCTGCGGGCCCAGCCGCTGCGGTCCAGCTCGCGACTACTTAACCCACTGAGATGTGCCCAGTTCTTCAGCGACTCCAAACTGAGTTCCGTGAACTGCGCTGAGGCCTCACGTCCGACGACGCGCGCGGCCGCGAAGCCTTTGTGGAGGTTCGGTTCGCGCGGTTTTCGGCATCGGAGTCGATATCGTTGGGCCCGGCACCTTTTCGAATTGGCCTTCCTCTTATCATGGTGTGCAGTGTGCAGTAGATTCGCCTCCAGAGCTAATGGGCAAAAATGTGCAAATCACCTTTTCTTCACTCAGTGATGCTCAACTTGAGGCCGAGGGTAGGTGACGAAAGCTAGCAGGGGTGCATCCGGACTGGTGGGACCTCAAGCGGAGTGAGGCAAATGCTCATGAGGTAAAACGTTGTGAACAT